GGCGCTCCCAAGCGCTCCCCGGCGTTTTCGGCACTCTCCAAAGCGCTCCCAATGCACCCAGGCGCATGGCGCTCCCAGGCGCTCTCAGGCGCTCCCGGCAAGCCCCCAGGCGCTCCCCGGCGCTCCCTGGCGCTCCCAAGCGCTTCCAGGTAGGTCCCATCCCCTGGGGAATGCCTTACACGTGACAACGCGCCTACGGCGGCCTCTCTGGCTGTGCTGGGGAGCGTAACGCACGTGGAAATACGTCTCTGGCGGCCCCTTCGGCTCGGTGCGCCATGCAGAACGTTATGCCTGCGGCGGCTTCTTCGACTATGCTTTGGTGCCTTGCTGGTGCATCTAGCAGAAAACCGCGACGCGAAAATTATCCTGGCGAAAGACCCAACCATAAGCAATTGTTGGTAACGCGTTGCGGGTGCCGCTTTCGGTGGGGCTCCATATGGGGCCACGAAGCGCTGCCTTGGATGGGGGAACCGCATGCGGACTGCGCCACCGGGGCGGGCCTTCGGTGGAGCTCCCTATGGGGCTACGAAACGCTGCCCTGGGTGGGGGAACCGCATGCGAACTGCGCCACTGGGGCCTTCGGTGGAGCTCCCTATGGTGCCACGAAACGCTGCCCTGGGTGGGGGAAGCGCATGCGAACTGCGCCACGGGGGCTTTCGGTGGAGCTCCCCATTGGGCCACGAAGCGCTGCCCTGGGTGGGTGAACCGCATGCGAGAGCAGCCACTGGGGCCTCCGGTGGAGCTCCCTATGGGGCCACGAAGCGCTGCCCTGGGTGGGGGAACCGCATGCGAGAGCAGCCACTGGGGCCTTCGGTGGAGCTCCCTATGGGGCCACGAAGCGCTGCCCTGGGTGGGGGAACCGCATGCGAACACCCCCACTGGGGCCTCCGGTGGAGCTCCCTATGGGGCCACGAAACGCTGCCCTGGGTGGGGGAACCGCATGCGAACACCCCCACTGGGGCCTTCGGTGGAGCTCCCTATGGGGCTACGAAACGCTGCCCTGGGTGGGGGAACCGCATGCGAACACCCCCACTGGGGCCTTCGGTGGAGCTCCCTATGGGGCCACGAAACGCTGCCCTGGGTGGGGGAACCGCATGCGAACACCCCCACTGGGCCTTCGGTGGAGCTCCCTATGGGGCTACGAAACGCTGCCCTGGGTGGGGGAACCGCATGCGAACACCCCCACTGGGGCCTTCGGTGGAGCTCCCTATGGGACCACGAAACGCTGCCCTGGGTGGGGCCTCCTGGACACACTCTTCAGCGAACACCCCCATCGTGGGGGGTTCGTGGAGCTCCCTATGGGGCTACGAAACGCCTGCCCTGGGTGAGGGGAACCGCTGCGAAACCCCAGCTGGGGCCTTCGGTGGAGCTCCCTATGGGGCCACAAACGCTGCCCTTGGTGGGGGAACCGCCATTCTAACACCCCCACTTGGGGCCTTTCGGTGGGCTCCCTACGGGGCGAACGAAGCGCTGCCCTGGGTGGGGGAAAGAACCGCATGCTAACCACCCCCAGCTGTGGCCTTCGGTGGATCTCCCTATGGGGCCACTAACGCTGCCCTGGGTGGGGGAACCGCATGCGGGGCGACGTGCGGGCGGAACACCCCACTGGGGCCTTCGTTGGAGCCTCCCTATGGGGCCACGAAACGCTGCCCTGGGTGGGGGAACCGCATGCGAACACCCCCACTGGGGCCTTCGGTGGAGCTCCCTATGGGGCTACGAAGCGCTGCCCTGGGTGGGGGAACCGCATGCGAACACCCCACTGGGGCCTTCGGTGGAGCTCCCTATGGGGCTACGAAACGCTGCCCTGGGTGGGGGAACCGCATGCGAACACCGCCACTGGGGCCTTCGGTGGAGCTCCCTATGGGGCCACGAAACGCTGCCCTGGGTGGGGGAACCGCATGCGAACACCCCCACTGGGGCCTTCGGTGGAGCTCCCTATGGGGCTACGAATCGCTGCCCTGGGTGGGGGAACCGCATGCGAACACCCCCACTGGGGCCTTCGGTGGAGCTCCCTATGGGGCCACGAAACGCTGCCCTGGGTGGGGGAACCGCATGCGAACACCCCCACTGGGGCCTTCGGTGGAGCTCCCTATGGGGCTACGAAACGCTGCCCTGGGTGGGGGAACCGCATGCGAACACCCCCACTGGGGCCTTCGGTGGAGCTCCCTATGGGGCCACGAAACGCTGCCCTGGTTGGGGGAACCGCATGCGAACACCCCCACTGGGGCCTTCGGTGGAGCTCCCTATGGGGCTACGAAACGCTGCCCTGGGTGGGGGAACCGCATGCGAACACCCCCACTGGGGCCTTCGGTGGAGCTCCCTATGGGGCCACGAAACGCTGCCCTGGGTGGGGAAACCGCATGCGAACACCCCCACTGGGGCCTTCGGTGGAGCTCCCTATGGGGCTACGAAACGCTGCCCTGGGTGGGGGACCCGCATGCGAACACCCCGGGGAGGAGGGAGGAGGAGAGGAAGGAGGGGAACGCGGGGCACCGTCTCCTCTATCAAAACGAGGACCCAACACACAGGATGGTGGGGAAAAAATTTATCCGGGCGAAAGAGCACCATGAGCAATTGGTTGAATAACGCGTTGTGGGGTGCCGCTTTCGGTGGACGTGGGGGCCTCCCTATGGGCCACGCATCGCTGCCGTGGCTTGGATGGGGGAACCGCAAGGCGGACTGCGCCACCGGGGCGGGCCTTCGGTGGACTCCGCTATGGGGCTAGAACGCCTGCCCTGGGTGGGGGAAGCGCATGCGAACTGCCCCACTGGGGCCTTCGGTGGAGCTCCCTATGGGGCTACGAAACGCTGCCCTGGGTGGGGGAACCGCATGCGAACACCCCCACTGGGGCCTTCGGTGGAGCGCCCTATGGGGCCACGAAACGCTGCCCTGGGTGGGGGAACCGCATGCGAACACCCCCACTGGGGCCTTCGGTGGAGCTCCCTATGGGGCCACGAAACGCTGCCCTGGGCGTGGGAACGCCATCGAGAGCATCCACTGGGGCCTTCGGTGGAGTCTCTATGGGCCAACGAAGCGGCTGCCTGGGTGTGGGAACCGCATGCGAACACCCCCACTGGGGCCTTGGTGTAGCGCCCTATGGGCCACGCAAAACGCTGCCCTGGGTGGGGGAACCGCATGCGAACACCCCCACTGGGGCCTTCGGTTGGAGCTCCCTATGGGGCTACGAAACGCTGCCCTGGGTGGGGGAACCGCATGCGAACACCCCCACTGGGGCCTTCGGTGGAGCTCCCTATGGGGCCACGAAACGCTGCCCTGGGTGGGGGAACCGCATGCGAACACTCCCACTGGGGCCTTCGGTGGAGCTCCCTATGGGGCTACGAAACGCTGCCCTGGGTGGGGGAACCGCATGCGAACACCCCCACTGGGGCCTTCGGTGGAGCTCCCTATGGGGCCACGAAACGCTGCCCTGGGTGGGGGAACCGCATGCGAACACCCCCACTGGGGGCTTCGGTGGAGCTCCCTATGGGGCTACGAAGCGCTGCCCTGGGTGGGGGAACCGCATGCGAACACCCCCACTGGGGCTTTCGGTGGAGCTCCCTATGGGGCCACGAAACGCTGCCCTGGGTGGGGGAACCGCATGCGAACACCCCCACTGGGGCCTTCGGTGGAGCTCCCTATGGGGCCACGAAACGCTGCCCTGGGTGGGGGAACCGCATGCGAACACCCCCACTGGGGCCTTCGGTGGAGCTCCCTATGGGGCTACGAAACGCTGCCCTGGGTGGGGGAACCGCATGCGAACACCCCCACTGGGGCCTTCGGTGGAGCTCCCTATGGGGCCACGAAACGCTGCCCTGGGTGGGGGAACCCGCAATGCGAACACCCCCACTGGGGCCTTCGGTGGAGCTCCCTATGGGGCTACGAAACGCGCTGCCCTGGGTGGGGGAACAGCATGCGAACACCCCCCACTGGGGCCTTCGGTGGCTCCCTATGGGCTACGAAACCCCGGGTGGGGAACCGCTGCAACACCCCACTGGGGCCTTCGGTGGAGCTCCCTATGGGGCCACGAACGCTGCCCTGGGTGGGGGAACCGCATGCGAACACCCCCACTGGGGCCTTCGGTGGAGCTCCCTATGGGGCTACGAAACGCTGCCCTGGGTGGGGAACCGCATGCGAACACCCCCACTGGGGCCTTCGGTGGAGCTCCCTATGGGGCCACGAAACGCTGCCCTGGGTGGGGGAACCGCATGCGAACACCCCCACTGGGGCCTTCGGTGGAGCTCCCTATGGGGCTACGAAACGCTGCCCTGGGTGGGGGAACCGCATGCGAACACCCCCACTGGGGCCTTCGGTGGAGCTCCCTATGGGGCCACGAAACGCTGCCCTGGGTGGGGGAACCGCATGCGAACACCCCCACTGGGGCCTTCGGTGGAGCTCCCTATGGGGCCACGAAGCGCTGCCCTGGGTGGGGGAACCGCATGCGAACACCCGCGGGAGGAGGAGGAAGGAACGCGGGGCGCTGTCTCTTCAAAACGAGGACCCAACACCACAGGATGGTTGGGAAAAAAGCGACGCAGATGCGCCGAACGGCTCCGCGGACCCAAGTGATTCGCCCAAGACCTCGTAGAGCAAGCCCCGAGGAGTTCCAGGGGCCCGTTTTTCAAGTCCCACGAGGTTTACCGGGGGGGAGCGCGAGGGGCACGCACCCGGCGCCCTCTCGCACTGCGCAGTCCGCCGCGAGGGGCATCACACGACGCCTTCCGTGGCCATGTACGAGGGGGCGCCAGACCCGCCCCCTCGCGCTCCCCCTCCCCGCCGTTTCGAAACTCCAGGGGTGTCGAGAACGTCAGACAATCTCTACGTATGCCCTTCCTTCTGCTTTCCTTCCCTTCCCCGACGTGGCACTGACAGACCATCATTTTCCTAGCAGGAATGCGCACGGTCGTGCCTTTGCACGCGACAGCGGGGCAGGCGCACCGCGTGGATACTGCGAGAGGCGAGCAGTCGCGCGCCAGCCAACGCGCGGCGCTCCGTCGGCAATCTCAGAACGCGGGTATGAAGTTGTCGCGCTCCACGTAGCCGCCGATCAGGTAGTCGTCCGACGTCGCGACACGGCTGAGCGCTGTATACCCCGCTGCTGGTCGAGGCCATCCGTCCAGGTATATAGTGATGTGGGGGAACTCGTCGCCTTGCACTATGGTTGGCGTACCCACGGTCCGCGTTGCCCTTCTCGCGATCGGTCCAGCGAGCGATGGCCAGTGGTGTTTCGTCACCTCGGCGTGCTCGCCTCCGTTGTTCTTGTTCTTCGTCAGGTACAACTTCATCCCCTTATAGATCGGCACTTTGCTTGGAACCAGACGGCGGTCAGTGCGAAGCTTGCCATCCAGGAAGTTCTCGGGGTTGAGTTCCACGTCGCCGTCCAGCGTGGCCAGCGGGGTCTTGCGGCCGTACAGCGCAGCGACTGCAGCCTCGTTCACGGCCGCAGCGCCCCTGTGCGTGCAGGTGACGATCCGCGTGTCTGGGTGCTTCTCGAAGAGCTTCTTCATTTCGGCGGGCGTGGGATCGCCTCTGCTCTTCCACGCCTTGTGATCGCGCACAATCTTGCGGAACGTCTCCTTCGAAGGCTTGTCTGTCCGAAGCTCGTCCAGGATCTCCTGGAAGCGCTCCTCCTTGCACCGCCAGGTCTCGGTGAGCTTCACGTGGAAGCAGCGCGGCTGCTTCCATGCGGCACTCTCCCACGGACGTGTCGGCTCGACCCCAGGGAGCTGGTGCTTGTCTCCGAGGAAGACCAGCGCGGGGACTTTCCCCGCGACGCTCCACAGCTTCAGGATGCGCTCGAAGCTTTCGCAACTCAGCAGCGATACCTCGTCAACCACCACCAAGTCGAAGTCCGTCATCCTGTGAAGACTCTCTGTGATTGGATCGTGCAGCTTGAATGCGGCGTGGCACGTGTCCACCGTTAGGCCCTCCAGGCCTTGCAGTGCTTGCTTCGTGCGGCTGGACAGCTGCGCCGTCGGGAGGGCGAAGAGCACGCGCGCGCCTTGCTCCTGGGCGCGCCGAATGCAGGACTTTACCACGGTGGTCTTCCCCGTCCCAGGCTTCCCAAGGCAGATGACTGGCGTGTTCTTCTTGTGCGCTTCCTCGCGCGCCTCGTCGGCCTCCTCCCAGTCCCCCGACAGCTCCGCTCGCGCGGCACGGTCCACGCGCTCGCTGATCGCCTCCTCCAGCTGCAGCTGCTTCGGGTTGAAGTCGACATCCTCCTGTCCCTCGCCGCGCGCTGGCCTGCGGCTGCCGATGACCGCGGCCTCGGCGTCGGCCGCGGCCTTCTCGTCGGCCTTGTCGATGATGCCCGTCAGGTACATGTTGATGAGCTTCCGCTGGCCCACGATCATGTGATGCACAGCCTCGGAGAACTTGCTGGACTTCGCTGAAGCGCTCATGTAGTCCATGAGCCGCCTGTCATCGGTGAACAAGTCATGGTGCTCTTGAGCGACGCGGCCCTGGTCGGAGCACAGTCGCAGCGCCGCCGCGAGATACTTGTATTTCTGCGGAACCAGGCGATTGACATCCTCGAACTCGAGCTCGTCGAGCGATCGGAACGGCACGTTCATTGCAGCCCACTGGCCGTAGTAGCGGTCGTTGAGCTCGTATACCGTGTCGACGCTGACCACCTTCTCGCCCTGCATGCGGTAGGCTCGCGCGAACTCCTTGAGATTCGGAAAGTCGTCCTCGCCCTCGCTCTTTTCGTCTCTGTGCTTCTTCGCTAGGAACTCCTCGAAGGTCTTCGGCTGCTCCACGTCTTCGGCGTCGGAGTCTTCGTCGCTGTTGCCGCCATCTCCGCCATCGGCATCGGCCATGCCTTTGTACTCAGCGCGCAGGAAGCGCCAGTGAGCGTCGAGCGCCTGGGGCTCCTCGCCGTCGGGCACGGTCGCGCGGTACCGCCTGTGCAGGGCCAGCGCCAGCTCCTGCTTGTGTTTGCGCTTCAGCCACCCAACGATGGCGCCGTCGTCGGTAGTCTTCCGAAGCCAATCCATGAGCGTCATGCCCTCGTGGCGCCATGAGCAATCAGCATGCCTCTGGACCCATTCGGGCACCTCCGCCATGCCCGAGTAAGGCGCCGTCGCGGTGCGGAAGCCGCCGCTGACAGTAGAGATGTCGTACTGTCTGAATTGCGCTCCACACAGCTGCAGGATCATCTCTGGCTCGTAGGGGTGGCACTCGAAGCAGACGCGCCTGGCCACGCTGTCCGCGGAGGCCCTGTCGCTCATCCACTCGTCGTAGCTGCTGTCCGAGAACTTCGCCACATACTTGGAAACGTATTGCAAGAGCATGGCCTCCCCGTCGCTGGTCTGCCAGTCCTGATGGCAAGGGAGCCCGTCCATTACGTCAGCGCAGTACGCTCGGAGGCCCGCGTCGTGGTCCTCCCTGGTGTGCTTCAGCTGGAGGACACCATCGTCGCCGTGCACCCCCGACGGCCCATGGTATATCGGCCACTTGCTCTCTGCATCGCCGTGCTTGTTGAACTGGGATCCGTCCACGTAACCCTTCAGGTCATCCGAGAAGCCATCGGGCTGGGTCGCGAAGAGGTGGTGCTCCAATCCCATGTTCGCCATGGAGTCGTCGTCCGCGAAGAAGAGGACGTGCAGGTGCGGCCGGCCGGAGCCGTCGTAGCGCTTCGTGCCCTCCTTGCGGCTCCCGTCCTGGAACTCCAGTCTCGTGAAACTCTGGACGCGAACCTGTCTGCCGTCGGCGTCCTTCGCGGCGAACACGTGCTGTGTCCAGCTGCGGTTGCTGCGGTCCATCATCTGGTAGTTGTTGCCCGCCAGCATGCCTCGGACGATCTGCATGAGCACGTGCGACATGTGCAGCGTTTCGCCCACGGGGAGGTACATGCGGGTCCGCAATGTCTTCTCCATCTCATCGCGCAGCCAGTCGTGGTACTTGAAGCACGGCTCCCACGGCGCAATGGTGAAGAACAGCTTCGGGAAGCCCACCTGGCGCACGAGGTCGACAAGGGCATTGTGCACCTCCTTCCAGTAGAGCGGCGAGAAGGTATGGCCCTTCATGAGCATCCGCATCGGCGCGTTGTCGAGCCCCAGGTTCTTTTTCGCACCGAGCGTCGCCCAGAGGTTCAGGTCGTACACGAACTGGAGCAGCTCGAAGTTGGATCCGTACCCAAGCAGCGGCCAAGTGGATGCGCAATGCCACGGCCGCGTCGGCGATCGCCTGCGCGCGCCACTTCGACAGCCCTCCGTGATAGGGGGGTTGGGGGGAGAAACCCTAAACCCTAAAAGGCTTCACTCTGGGTGGTCTGGGGCGGGAGTGCGACTAACCGTGGCGCGCGCGGCCTGGGCAGCGATCCCCCACAACAACCTTGATGTGGGGGGGGTCGCAGCCAGCGCGCGCTTGCGCCAATGCAGGCCCTAAACTGCAAGCCACGGGCGGTGCAGCGTCCGTAGCCCGTGGCGTCTGGCCGAGCGCTCAGCGAGCCTGCCCATACAGCGTGCGCCGCACCGACGAAGCGGCGATAGCCGCTGAGGAGGAATTCGCACGCCGCGCGGTGCATCCCCGTGGTGTTCTCCTAAGAAAAGGAACCCCGAACCCTCAGCCCTAGCAAGCGGGTGCCCCGTTGGCCGATGCTATCCCTGGGGCTCCAAACCTATGAAATTACCGCATGCGGCGCTCCCTGGGTGCTCCAAACCTATGAAATTACCGCATGCGGCGCTCCAAGCGTTTCCAAACGCTCCAGGCAATCCCAAGGACTCTCCAAGCGTTCCCGGCATGCTCCCAGGCGCTCCCAAGCGTTCCCAGGCGCTCCCAGGCGCTCCCAGGCGCTCCCAGCCGCTCCCAAGCGCTCCCAGGCGCTTCCAAGCTTTCCCAGGCGCTCCCGGCACGCTCCCAAGCGCTCCACGGCGCTTCAGGCGCTCCCGGCACGCTCCCAGGCGCTCTCGGCACTGGGAACGCGCTGGCTGCGCCCCCAGGCGCTCCCAAGCGCTCCCGGCACGCTCCCAGGCGCTCCCAGGCGCTCGCAAGCGCTCCCAAGCGCTCCCGGCCTGCTCCTGGCGCGCTCCAAGCGCTCGCAAGCGTTCCCCAGCGTTCCCAGCGCTCCCACAACTCCGAAGCGCTCCCAAGCGCTCCCCGGCGCTCCCAGGTGCTCCCAGGCGCCCAAGCATTCCCACGCGCTCTTAAGCACCCACAAGCGCTCCAAGGCGCCACGCGGCGCTCCCATGTGCTCCCGCGCGCTCCCAAGCGTGCCCAGGCGGTTCCAGGCGGTCTCAGGGCTCCTGCTCCAGGCGCTCTCCCAGCGCTGCCAGAGGGCCCCCCCAAGGCATTCCACGGGCTTCTGCCATGGATGGAGGTGCTCGCAGCCATGCGCGCGCATCGTAGCGAGGGGTGCCAGACCCACCCCCTCGCGCTCCCCCTGCCAGCCCGTCCGAAGCTCGCGCGCTCCCCCTCCAGAAGCTCGCGCCGAAGGCGGCTGCGTCGATGATTGCAATCGCTTCAGCGGGGGGGCGACCCCAAAGGCGAAACCCAAAGCCGCGGGCGAATGTAACTGCCGTGCGCGTCGCCGTCAGCGAGGAGCCCGACGGCGCAGCCACTCGCTCCGGGCCCACGGGAAACCATGGGATTGCCGCGCCAGCGCCTTCGCAGTGCTGCTTTCCAATGCCGAAGGCAAATGCCGGACCCCTGTGGAACTGCTGCGCCAGCGGCAGCCCAACGGCGAAGCCCCACACAGAAGGCGCAAACAGCTGCCTCATCGACGAGGCGAGCTGACGCGCCAGCGCCATGCACCCTGCGCGCGCGTTCGCATGGGCGCGCATTGCCACGGCCGCGGCCGCGCGCGCTTCCCAGCATTTGCAGCCCAGTGTCACAACCCAGCGCCGACAGCAAAAGCGACAACACATGGGCATGCTGCGCCAGCGGCAGCCCAACGGGGAAGCTAATCGCCGCCATCGCCAACGGCTGCCTCTTCGACGGGACAACGAGCCGAAGCGCCGCCTACGCCGCGCGCCCTGCGCGCGTGCTCACGTGGATGCGCAGTGCCACGGCCGCGTCGGCGATCGCCTGCGCGCGCCACTTCGACAGCCCCCCGTGATAGGGGGGTTGGGGGGAGAAACCCTAAACCCTAAAAGGCTTCACTCTGGGTGGTCTGGGGCGGGAGTTCGACTAACCGTGGCGCGCGCGGCTTGGGCAGCGATCCCCCCCAACAACCTTGATGTGGGGGGGATCGCAGCCAGCGCGCGCTTGCGCCAATGCAGGCCCTAAACCCTAAACCCTAAACCCTAAACCCTAAACCCTAAACCCTAAACCCTAAACCCTAAACTGCAGGCGCGGACCTGGGGGCGCGCACCGCCACGCCTGTAAGGATCTGCTAGTGAGAGCGAGCTGCAAGTCGAGCTCACCGCGACCATAGGCCTGCCGGCCCGAGGCGGTGCTTCGCTTGCAAAATGATAACCCCTAACCCTCGGCCGGATGCTCGGATACCGCTCGGCTTCTCGGCTCGCCCAGAGCTCTCCAGAGCTCCCCCCCAGAGCATTCCCCCAGAGCTCCCCCCCAGAGCTCTCCCCCAGAGCTCCCCCCCAGAGCTCTCCCCCAGAGCTCTCCCCCAGAGCTCTCCCCCAGAGCTCTCCCCCAGAGCTCTCCCCCAGAGCTCTCCCCCAGAGCTCTCCCCCAGAGCTCTCCCCAGAGCTCTCCCCCAGAGCTCTCTCCCAGAGCTCTCCCCCAGAGCTCTCTCCCAGAGCTCTCCCAGAGCTCTCCCCCAGAGCTCTCCCCCAGAGCTCTCCCCCAGAGCTCTCCCCCAGAGCTCTCCCCAGAGCTCTCCCAGAGCTCCCCCCCAGAGCTCTCCCCCAGAGCTCTCCCAGAGCTCTCCCCAGAGCTCTCCCCCAGAGCTCTCCCCAGAGCTCTCCCCCAGAGCTCTCCCCCAGAGCTCTCCCCCAGAGCTCTCCCCCAGAGCTCTCCCCCAGAGCTCTCCCCCAGAGCTCTCTCCCCCAGAGCTCTCCCCCAGAGCTCTCCCCCAGAGCTCTCCCCCGAGCTCTCCCCCAGAGCTCTCCCCCAGAGCTCTCCCCCAGAGCTCTCCCCCAGAGCTCTCCCCCAGAGCTCTCCCCAGAGCCTCCCCCCCAGAGCTCCCCCCAGAGCGCTCCCCCAGGGCGCTCCCCCAGAGCTCCCCCCCAGAGCCCCCCCCCAGAGCTCTCCCCAGAGCATCCTCGGGGGCCTCGTGCTCGGCGCGGCGCGGCGGCCACTGCCGCGCGGAAACCCAGGTGGCCGCGTCCAGCCTTCACGCGGCGGCCCCTGGGGAAGGCTACGCGGGCGACTCTGCGCCCGCAAGGGTCGGGGTCGCGCGCGTAACTTTCGCGAAGGACGACTCTCGAATCGCGCTAATGCTGGCATATCTGTTTCTGGGACGCACATCACTCACTCAGGCTGACGCCAGCACTCCTTCCCCCCTTGATCGGGGGGAGCGTGGGGGGTAGATCCCTAAACCCTAAAAGCAATGACTCTGGGTGGATGGGGTGGGGCAGAACGCATCCATCCATCCCCCCCCCCCCATTACCTCCTGAGGAGGGGTGGATAGGATGGTTCTGCGCAGAAGCCCTAAACCCTAAACCCTAAACCCTAAACCCTAAACCCGACAGTCAATCACATGCCTCCGGAGAGCGCGACTGTCGCGCGCAAGAACTTTCTGCAGATGTTCGAAGCCATCATTCGAGATATGAAAATGAATACTTTGAGAGAAGACTTCGTTGGAGATATCGACAGTTCGAAGCCCACAATCATGCACAACCTGTCCCCCTGCATTGCACAGCGCAGAGGTGGCGCAGGCGGACACTGGGTTTTCAGCAGGGGTCGCCGCATGGAGTCTGATGAGGTGTGCCGATTTTTCGGCACGTCGTATAAGGCATTCCGAAATTCTCGTGCAATCACATATCGTCAATTGAAAGCTTTGTGCGGCAACTCGATACCCGTGAATCTGCTGGAGCGCGTGCTCCTGCGCGTGCTCACCGTAGCTGGCATCTGTCGCCGAAGTGACTTGACTACTCGGTGGGAGAATGAGTCGATGGCAGCTGCCACGTTGCGGGCATTGCATTAGGTGAACAGTTAGCAAGGCGACGATACACAAAGCCTGCATCCTTATAGATGCGCAGTTCCAGGGTAAGCGAGATTGCAATCATCATCAGCAGCATCATCGTCATCACCTTCATCAGTATCACCATCATCATCAACAACAACACCATCAGCATCAACATATTTACCCATTGTGGTCGCAAGGCGTCCCAGGGGGGTCGGGAGGACTCGATAATTCGATATCTCAATATCGGGGGCGGCGCCGGGCGGGGACTCGATATTTCGATATTTCGATACCGCGATATCGGGGGTTGGGATCGATTTCGCGATATCTCGATATCGGGATGCGGGGACTCGGAGTCGAGATATCGCGATGTCTCGATATCGGGGTGCGGGGACTCGAATAGGAGATATCTCGATATCTCGATATCGGGGGCGGGGCCAAAGCGGGGACTCGACATCTCGATATCTCGATACCT